GGGGAGAAAAAATAAAAATAATAAAAAAATAAAAATAAGACGGGCGCATACCATTGAGAAAAACACATAGCATGTTTTATGCATATTTGCAATGTTCGGTCGCAAATTTCCTTCGCCCGGGTATGGGTTTTTGTCTCCGGGATTTTATTTTATTTGTTATTTTTTTGGCAGCCTTGAGCGCGAACCTTCACTGTGGGAAAACACTTGGCCTTGAGAAATCCTTCGAACATGGGAAAGTTTTCCAGGAATACGGTTGGGAAACCAGGACCTTTGAGGAGGGGAAAAAGAAAGCACCTTTGATACAGGGAGGAGGGTTGAGACAGGCACATACCATTGAGAAGGTAGAAAACCCTTCATCCAGACTTTTGAGCTACACCCTTCAACAATATTAGCCCCTCAATAAGGGTTCAGGAGAACTGATCATGTTTTATCAGCCTTCTAGAAAAGCTTTATAAATGCTTGGGCTGCTAGTTTTTTGGACAATGTGTTCATTTGTTTGGTGAGTGGAAGAGAACATGTTGGTGTTTCAATGGATGATGATCCCCATTCTCATAAGCCTTTTCCTGGCTTGGGGAGCTGGGGGCTGGTGGTCAATTTGCTGCTCAAAATAGGGAAGATCCCGCAAGTTATGGCATTTTTTTTTGGAATAAACATCAATAAACCATAGAATGGATGGTAGCATCCTATTTTCAGAGACTGTCGAAAAACGCAAGATTGAAATCCAGGAGGTTGAACGTGGACCCAGTGGGACCCATGCAAGATATAGGGGGTTCCAAAGAAAAACATAGAACTGAAGGACTTCAGGACTTGTTTGGTCTAATGGTGAGTCGTGGACGTGGACCCCTATAATTAAGGACCTTAAGAAATAGACATAGTTTTTTTTATTGTTTTTTTGGTTCCAATGTAAGCAGTGTGACTGGGATAATGTCCAAATCTTCTGCGCGCATTTGGTGACCCATCCATGTATATACATGGACATATTTTATCCACCGACATCCGACATATCTCCACCACGGATAGCAAAGCTTGAGAAAACAATCCATGTCAAATTCATTTGATGGGTCCAACACTAATTGACCCTGGATGATCTGCTAAATTGATGAAGAAAAACAATGTATGTCCGACAATAATATTCGAACCAATATGGATACATCTAACATTCAGATCAACCTTACCCATGCCTTTTCCAGGTAATCCTACATTATATCGCAATACATATATATATATACCTATATATATCATATGTAATCCATATCATATATTATCCATATCTCACTGGGTGATAGTGATGCCATAGCTATTGCCCACTGACTAGTAATACTATGGTTATATGTTGATACTATCCACTTACTATGATTCTACTACAAGGTGGCCCCCCGTTTACGCACAACTTGGCTAACGTTTGGATGGATTAGGGGGATAATGGGATATAACTATATATATATAATTATAATAGTATTCATGGGGTGAATATAAACCATGAATACTATACTTATATCATCCCATATATTCCCTTAAACTCCATTAATTGGGGCTTGTAAACTAGAATGCCACATTTTGGTTCATAAACTACACTTCTTGGGGCTTACTATAGTGATAAACATTTATAAACCATAAATGCAACCTTTGGCCCGGAACCAGGACTGGGTCGGCAAGGTGGAGAAGGAAGCCGCCTGGGACCCCTGGATTTTTGTGTGAACAAATTGGCTGTTGACCCATCAAAAATAGGGCGTTTAACATGGGTTTTTGTAGACCATTTAACAATAGAATAGCACTTGTGTGTTATAATTTAAACCACTCAGATTTCAACATCCAGGTAAGTGCTGGTGCGCTTTTTTCAACTGGGCAGACATTTAAAGAATGGTGCTGGTAAGTTAAAAATCCAGGCGTATAAGTTGGTTTACAACTATATAACTAGAGCCTACAGTGGGATAGGTTCAAACCAACCAATTTGCAACTGCGGGGCCGCCTTTCTGTGACAACCAGAATTGCTTTACCAGTAGTACACTCAATTGAGAACTGATCAAAATCGATCCAAGTTTCCAATCTGCAGGACACACTTGAACTCTCAGGGTTGGAAATGTTACGACTCACGCTGGGGCTCCAAACTCTGCCCATTGAAATGATTTTGTGTTCCATCCTAGGTTGGTGATCAGTGACAAATGTGTCTTGCAGCCGACTCGGCATGCATCGATTACCAAAGGTGGAGAGCCTGACGGGCTACCGCGACGGCGTTGGGGAACCCGACATATGCTGGGTAAGACTGGTGCATGACTGAGCCGTGGACCTGTGCGCCAAGCCATGCGTTCTATGTACTGTATACCTGTATGTAGTTTGGTGTATACCTATGTGTATGTAGATATGTATCATTATAAACTGATGTCATATATATATACACCATATAACATGACATATATATATATATACACATTATGATCTTTATTGCATCCTTTTGTTTCAGGTGGGCATCGCCAACAACAGTGCACCCATTTTTCACTTTGTGTTCCAAGGTTTCGCTGAAGTTAGGGACCCCAAACTCAATCCAACCTTTTTCATGTTTAAATAGGGAAAACAGTGAAAAACAGGCACAAGAATGGCTCGATAAACACACTCACTAAATTGGTTATGTTATTGTTTTTGTAGATATCTCGCATGAGTTATACCCCACATCTATGTATATATATATATGATTATGTATATATATATATATATATCTATTGCATTCCCCTTGATCCCAAAGAAATCACTGCTTAGATGCCTTTTGTTCCTCATTAAACCACCATTTCCTCAGATTTTTTGGTTCAATCACGACCGATGGACTCTGCAGGTGGACACGATGATGGAGGCGGGCACAGGTCATGGTGATGATGGAGGGATGTAGACTTGTTTTTTTATTTGTCATTTAGCAAGTACCATTGATATCCATTGATGATTTTTCCCAGCGAACTATGAACTAGACCTCCATTGGCGGTTTCCAATGTCCATGTTTGATTATCGGAGGGTGGAGGGTAATTCGAAAGCATTTTTCCCAGCTAGACACCTCCATTTATAGGCGGTTTGAAAAAGTCCATGTTTGATTACCGGAGGGTGGGGTGTAATTCTAAAGCATTTAATGAAGTTTGAGAACCATTGAGAACCTCTATATTAGCTACATATCTTCCTGATTTAGGTCGGATAATATTATGCCTGATTTTGCATGGCTTCCGCCTGGAGGTTCATGTGGTGGGCCTAAGTCATCACAGTGCACCGGTGGAAGTGGGGAAACCAAGATGAACACTTTCCAGTTTGCAAATGCACAGTGACAGGGGGAAGAGTGTGGGAATGTATCTGTATATATATATAATTATATATATATACATATCCAGCAAAAGTGGAGCTTTCACAGTTTTGAGTTTTGACTAACAAACAGTGTTCTAGTTGATCTTTTTCTTCGTTGTGGGCCAAGAATCCGGTCGAGGAGCCTGCAACAGCACCTACAACCATGATTCAAGCAGCAAGGGGGGTGACTCAAACAACTGTGGGAGAAGGTCCCCCCCCCACTTTTGTGGTTTTTCACCCATCCAACTGTAGATTTGCGTTTTAGTCACAAATCCAATCATTAGCCCAGTAGATCCCAGTAGTGAAATCAACCAAGTCACGCTTCTCGATTGGGGGGCCTTACCTGCAAATTGTCCCAGTGCTTCGCATGAAAATGTCGCATTTGGTCTAAAGCCAACATGGGGAGTGACGCAACCAAAAAACGGAGAAACGGCAAATCAATCAAACGACTGGAGGGATTTTTACATGATTTAAATTTCACCAGGGGATGAACATGAATTTTCCAGCCATTTGGATGTTCACTGTTGTAGAGTTTTGATCAGCAAGTCGAGTGATTTCATCAGCACCCTGAGGTTCGAGAGAAGTTAGCCGTGGCACAAGCAGATTGGAATGCTTATGCGCAGGTGCCACGTTGCTGTTGTGCAGGGTTTCTACGCGCCGATACGTAGTGTTGATTGAATCTCAGATAAATATGGATAAATATACTGATACAAAATATAGATAAACGCCGTTGCAACCACATTGGACCTGAGCTGCAGCCAATATATCTAACATGAGCTGGGGCAACCCTTCTGGTTCTTTCAATGTTGACTTTCAGCATGTGGATTGCTCCGTTACATTGTGATGTTCCGATGTTCCCCAAAAGGAACGTAAGGTGTCTTCATCAGATGGGACACAGTGATTGCTCAGTGGAGAAGTGGGTCATGTTTTCATATACCATCTGGTTTACTGAGTCTACTGAGGATTTATATATATATATACTTGCGAAAACATCAAACAACTCTTGCTTGGCAAGGCAAGAGCCTATTTTCTGAGGCATAAAAAGCCATGTGATATCGAAAAAAAGAGTTTTTGGTCCCACAATATCCAAGATGAGTCATGAATCCCCAGTCATGTTTGTTCAATTCTATTGTTTTTGTTGCTGATGAATCCCAATAGGGGTTTGGTAACGTCGCCTGCTTGATTGGGTAGTTCGATATACGGTACTTGAATCTTCTGCCATGCCAGGGAATCTAAGATAAAACATACTATGATATGATATATTACATACCCTTTGGTAAACTAACATAGCTATGGAAAGATCCACCATTTTTCATGGGTAAATCCACTATAAATTGCCATTTTTCATAGCTTTTTGTTTGTTTACCACAGGGTACATGTGGGCAAACCATATACCATTGGTTGTTCGCCACTCCAACATTGGCTTATCATCCCACCAATTCGGCCATCCCAGGCCCCAATTGATGATTCATCATGTTTCCAGGAACCAAATCCACTTCTTTCGCACACTTAAACACCAACTTTCCTGGATGTTGATTATATTATGATTATATATATAAACAACAACATGGAACACCAACTTTCCTGGATATGTATGATATGCCCATGTTGTTCCATTCTTGATGGGTTCGTATCTTTGACGGGTTCCGCCGACCTGATGTTGGCTTAAGCTCTTGACTCCCGCCGGGACCCTGCGGCGGTGCGGTGCGAACACCTGAGATCGAAGGTCCATATTGCCACCCGGCAGGGTTCGAAAACCATGGCTCAACAATTTGGGTACTGTTAGTAAAGAGAATGGTTAATCATGATCATTAACTATGATTTTTTCATGATGATTGATGTTAGTAAAGCAATGTCATAGACCACCCATATGGATTGATGCTTTGTACCACCCATTTATAGTACAATTGGGGATGGTTTACTGTTGCTTTACTAACATTACAGTATCGAAGTTTTTTGGATGTCTAGTAAGATTGACCAACATGGACTGGAAAATGGTGAGTCATGGTATGTCTGAGGTTGTTCTAATATGCCCAGGAACCAATCAAGCTGCCATAGTCAGAGGACATCCCCAACACAGGTTCCAGCTGGTCCAGATGTTGTATTTAAGGACAGATACACCTGAGTGACTGTCGTTTGGTAATGTGACACAAGCAATTGCATAGTGAAGAACTACTAGGACACTACAGTATACATGTAAATACACAGAAACACATACATATATATATATATATAAACAAATATGTAGATATGATTATATGTATACGCACAGGTGACTAGTGGGTGTCAAAATTGATCACCCCAAGGTTTAGTTTTTTGTTTTGTTCGCTTTTAAGACGGTCACTAGGCTATCAGCTGTTTGACCCATACACATGTTTGGCTATGTTTGTGATAGTTGCTTCGACTCAAAGCTGGGTCAATGGATGCCTTGACCTCAGAGTGTACCCAAATTGTTTGACATTGATTACCATTATTGTTTTTTTCCCCCACCTGCCAGGTGAGGGTTGTTAGATTTTATGTCAGTTGCTTGCTCCTCCTCCTCCTCCTTCTCCTCCTCCTCTCCTCGTCTCCTCTCCTCGTCTCCTCTCCTCGTCTCCTCTCCTCGTCTCCTCTCCTCCTGCTCCCTGCCGGACTTCAACCACGACCATCCACGCCCAGTGTTCCCTGCCGGACCTCAACCACGACCATCCCCGCCCAGTGTTCCCTGCCGGACCTCAACCACGACCATCCACGCCCAGTGCTCCCTGCCGGACCTCAACCGCGAGTATCCCCGCCCAGTGTTCCCTGCCGGACCTCACTGTAGCGAAGATAAAAGTCGATAGAGTGCAGAAGAGATTTGCCATGGTAGAATGCCAGAAAATATGCCAGAAGATATGCCAGAGAGATATGACCAGAAGATATTCCAGAAGTATGCCAGATAAATGCCAGATAGAATGCCCAGAAGATATGTCAGAATATATGCCCCACAGAAGATATGCCAGATGAGAATGCCAGATAGAATGCCAGAAGATATGTCAGATAGAATGCCCAGAAGATATGCCAGATAGAATGCTCAGTAAGACCATGCCCAGATAGAATGCCCAAAATCACAGAACTGTCCAGAAGATATGTCAGATGAATGCCAGAAGTGTGCCAGTTAAGAGACATATATAAATGTCATGGTGGGGAACACACGATAACCAATCCAAGTAACTGTTATTTTCCAAAAAAAAAATCAACGCTTAAACATCGTTTTATTTATGTGTATACACCGTGTTATCATATCTTGGGTAAATGGTTGCAGATTGTATCCAGAGCCATCTAATTTGGTTCCACTATGTCCCAGTCTGGTTGGTGGTTTCAAACATTTTTTATTTTCCATAATATATGGGAATAATACTCCCAACTGACTAATATTTTTCAAGATGGTTAAAACCACCAACCAGCTATAAATAATGGGATAAACCATCTTTCAAGCCTTGGGCAAATGGTTGCAGATTGTTTGTATCGCCATCTAATTTGGTTCCAATATGTTCCAATAGTTTTGAGCCATAGCCATGTAGCAAGTCGATGGTTCATGTCGCACACAGTCGACTGGCAGCTAAGGTTTCGGCATGATGTCGTGGTTGATGCTTGCCGTGCTTGCATTTTTTCGACTAGTCCTTGCCTTAGAATTTCAGAGCCCGCATGCGAGATCATTCCAAAATGCGAGATCATCCTGACTATTCAATAAGATTTTCTTTGGTGATTTAGCGAACTGGAAAATCATCATTTTTTCTAGGTACATCCAGGTACATCATCTATTTCTATGGGCCAAATTCCCATAGCCTGGTCATGAAGGAAGATCATCCACAGACCTGTACAAATTCTTCAGTTAAGGGCACTTTTTGGTTGTTTTAATCGCGCTATAATGTATATATATATATATATACATGTTATATGATTATAGATTCTAATATTATGCCGATAATATTATATATATATATATATGTATGTATATATGATCAGATATGTGTACAGTATAGACCATGTTACATGTAGTACATATGTTTGTATATGTGCTGCAGCCATTTTAGTGCTTTTAGCCACCTTCGAGCTAACTGAGTGAAAAGGTGCTGAACAGTGCTCAGGAGTGTTCATCAGATTTAAGAGCCCAAATTCTCTGTTCATGGTAGCGGAGCTGAGGTTCTGATACCCAGCTGTGAATGTGTAGGTGTCGACGCCGGGCTGGTTCTGCTCTGGCGCGCTCACCTCGTGCCAACTGGAAAAGGTTGACACTCAAGCTCCTGAAAATCAGGAAAATCCAAAGATACTTCCATAACCTTGGAGTGCATCTCCAAAGGTACCCAAGGGTTCTCTTGAATCAGGTCTCAAAGCACCTGAAGAACGACTAAGGATGGCTCAGCAACAGCAGCCACCTCAGCAACCAGGCACTCCACCAGCACCACAACAAGCACAAGGCAATGGTCCCAACATGTCCCAGATGGTTATGCAGATGATGGCCCAATTGACTCAGGGTCAGGCGCAGTTGAATCAGGCAATGACCGAGGCTATGAACCAGCAGCTTCAGATCAACAGAAATGTTGAGAGATCTGTTGAATACAAAGACAGATCAGAGTTGAAAGGCATACCAAAACCTGATAAGTTCACTGGAGCATCAGGCACTTGGGATAGTTGGTGGTACAAGTTTAAGACTTGGGTTGAAAGTTGCCACAAGAATGCTGTGAAGATTGTGGCACAAGTTGAATCTCAGTGTGACAAAGAGATCACTGAGTCAGGTCTAGAAGTAGACTTTGATGAAGGTGCCGAGCTTGTTTCAGCTCAGGCTCGACAAGCCCTCATATCATTGACTGAGGGAGAAGCGTTGGAAATTGCCAAGAACACATCTCGTGGTAGCCACTTTGGCCTAGAAGCCATGAGACGACTGTTGTGCAAATATGATCCTCAAAATCCTCAAGCTAATTCAGCCTTGTTGAAAAAGGTTCTGCATCCAAGTCAATGCAGTCTTGATAAGCTTCGAGAAGGGCTTGAGAGTTGGGAGAACTTGAAAAGAAAGTATGAAGACAGGAGGAAGAAACCACTTGAAGATGACATCTGCAGGAGTTGTCTGCAGCAGATGTGTCCCAACAAGTTGCAAGATCATTTGGACTTGCAGGCTTCGAGATTGACCACGTATGACCAGGTGAAAGCTGAAGTTCTGGCCTATCTCGAGAATGTCGAGACCAGGAAAGAGGCAAAGTCAGGAGCCGTTCCCATGGATGTGGATTCCCTTGCTAAGGGTAAGGGAAAAGGAAAACATGATAAAGGGAAAGGCAAAGGTAAGTCCAAAGGTAAAGACAAAGGAAAGAGTCAGTCTTCGTCTTGGTCAAACGATTCATACCACAAGGGTTCTTGGAACAATCAGTCTTGGAATCAGCAGTCTTGGTATAAACAAAACACCAATGACTCCAAGAACAAAGGGAAAGGCAAGAAAGGTCAAGACAAAGGTAAAGGTAAAGGTGATCAAGGTAAAGGTCGCAAAGTTGCCAATGTTGAGTCTGATACTTGGGCTCAAGAGCAACCTGCAGCAACTGCCACTGGTGATCAACCTGAACCTGAACTCACAGCGCTGTTCACCTTGGAAGACGCTATGCCGCCTAAGTCCGAAGCTCAAGAGGAATCACCTCGCCGTGGTAGAAGTCCAAGGAGAGCTACACTCCAAGCACCCTCAAGGAGCACTGTGACCAGGAGCGCTATGGTTATGGCTCAAAGCGCTTTGGCATCAGCTTCTGGGTCTAACAAGGAGCTTTTCAGTAAGATGATTGCTCAGGCTGAGAGCGCTGTCAAAGATGCTCAGGACAAAGGGCTCCAAGCAAATCAGGCCCTTAAGGAACGCCAAGAAACCCTGGACAAGTTGAAGAAAGAGGCAGCCCAGCATCAGAAAGAGGCCAAAGAGGCAATGGCCAAAGTGAGGGCAGAAGGCCGTG